AATTTTTAATTAACGCCGACTCGTTTGTTGCGCCGACTCGTTTTTATACTAGACGATTAAACGTCTGAGACGATGTCGTCAATATTGATAGGCGCCATCAGACATAGTCTAAATTGGACCCAGATATATAATATTGGACCATCAAAACGCATCATCCTTACGACTATCATGTCGGTATATTTGACGAACGACCTGTCTGCGGAGGCAATTTTCCCATTTACTAGCCAGGAAATTTGCTAGGCCTGCCCCACTCGGTATAATGTCTTTTCCCTTTCCCTCGGTATAATGTATTTCCCTTTTCCCATCTCCCTTGGTTCTGAGTAGCACGAAGTATTATATTTTCATTTCCTGGAATGTATACATATTAGGCATGGATAGCCAGAGCTCCCCACGTGCTACACACACACCTCGCTATATATACAGGACAAAACGTTTGGGTTTGAAAGCGAGTCAGTACCTTGTTTATAAACCTACCACATGCGGTTCATTTTCAAAACCTTGATTAAGCTAGCTGGCTTTCGATGTTGACTCAAAACTCATTGACTTTCAATGGCAAGAAAGGCAAATCATCCACGTGAACACCACCCCCCTCTCCAGGTGAACACTATAGAATACCCTCTCCCTCTCCAGGTGGACACCCCCCTCACCAGGTGGACACCCCCCCCCCCAGATTCGCGGTCATTCTTGGTATGTTGTAAAACATGGAATCTTACAATCGTGGAATGTTTTCAGCATATCCACTGAACCATACCTTATAGTCCATGCCTTCTCCACAGTTGGTGACAACACAGAGTAACCCCAGAGCTTTCGCCAAGTCTTTCGTGGTCTCTGTCTTACCCGTGCCTGCAGGTCCGGCAGGAGCTCCACCAAGGTACATTGATAAAGCCTGCAAAAAAATGAATAATGCGTATAACAGGCCCATTTCCACTCAAGAAAAATTTCCATGGACAGAACATTTTCCGAAAATGTCATGAAAATTTGGAAAATTATTTTTCCGACGGAAAATTTGTGTCTGCCAATCACATTTTATAAAATTTTCTTTCTGCGGAAAATTTTCCTGAGTGAAAATTAGCTAGAACATTTTCCGAAAATGTCATGAAAATTTGGAAAATTATTTTTCCGACGGAAAATTTGTGTCTGCCAATCACATTTTATAAAATTTTCTTTCTGCGGAAAATTTTCCTGAGTGAAAATTAGCTAGAACATTTTCCGAAAATGTCATGAAAATTTGGAAAATTATTTTTCCGACGGAAAATTTGTGTCTGCCAATCACATTTTATAAAATTTTCTTTCTGCGGAAAATTTTCCTGAGTGAAAATTAGCTAGAACATTTTCCGAAAATGTCATGAAAATTTGGAAAATTATTTTTCCGACGGAAAATTTGTGTCTGCCAATCACATTTTATAAAATTTTCTTTCTGCGGAAAATTTTCCTGAGTGAAAATTAGCTAGAACATTTTCCGAAAATGTCATGAAAATTTGGAAAATTATTTTTCCGACGGAAAATTTGTGTCTGCCAATCACATTTTATAAAATTTTCTTTCTGCGGAAAATTTTCCTGAGTGAAAATTAGCTAGAACATTTTCCGAAAATGTCATGAAAATTTGGAAAATTATTTTTCCGACGGAAAATTTGTGTCTGCCAATCACATTTTATAAAATTTTCTTTCTGCGGAAAATTTTCCTGAGTGAAAATTAGCTAGAACATTTTCCGAAAATGTCATGAAAATTTGGAAAATTATTTTTCCGACGGAAAATTTGTGTCTGCCAATCACATTTTATAAAATTTTCTTTCTGCGGAAAATTTTCCTGAGTGGAAAAGGGCCTTTAAGGCTAATTTTCACTCAGGAAAATTATCTGTGGATTGGAACGGACAAAAAAATTCTTTGTGTTAAAGTCATTAGTTCCAACCCAGAGCTCACAGGACAAAGAAAAATTTTCTTGTCCGTTCCAATCCACAGATAATTTTCCTGAGTGGAAATTAGCCTGTACAAGATAGCTCTATTAATTCTGCATGTCCCAACTGATCTCTCCTTAGTCCACAAGCTGTTATTGAAGCGAACTTAACTAAACTAACTTAATTCTTCTTCCAAGACGTCCAGTAAAAGTCATCCCTTTTTTATCCAGTGTTACTACAGGAGGAAACCTAAACTAAACTATAACTTTATCAATATTGGATAGCTCTGTCACTGTTCTCCTCAGAGGTCCTAAGAAAAATCCCTTGTTGGTCCAATGTTACTACAGAAGGAAACCTAAACTAAACTAATTTCAAATATATCGAGTAGTTCTGAACTGGTCTCCCTCAAAAAATTAATCAAAAGTTTGGTGAATTCACTGCAGTCAGCACAAGTTCATGTTATAAACTAACCGTAAATTATTAATAATTTAAGTGGCAATGCGCCCTAATCTGTTATTTTAAACTATGGTATGCTCAATGGGTTGACATTGAGTAAATCTACATTCAAGCATATTTATACCTGGGTAATCGTGAGATAGATTCTATCAGTCAAAGGAGTGATAACAAGACGACCATTCAATCCCATATATTCATAACCATAGCCAAACTCCCCTGAACACTGTCTTACGGTCAGGTTATCAGGTAGCTGGTCCCAGTAAAAACGTAACTGACTCTCCCATTCAAACTCACGAGCGTCCATTATACTAGAACGAAACAGAATGTGAGTCAAGGTAAGGGGGGGGGGGGGGAGGGGGGGGTCT